GGCGAACAGTGATTCTTTCATCCACAAGATTGATATTGCCACCTCTCAGGTCTGCGCCAACACTCGTTAGAAAACACGGGGAGAATTGATTTTACCTTATAACAACTCCTAAGTTTTTATATCTTTTAACAAAATAAAATTTTAGCAATCTAATGCAATCTAATCAAAGGGCGGTGGGACAAGCCTGCGAATAGTTGCTTATCATTAACGCTTTAGTAAGAGAGTTTTCCCGCTTACGAGAAGGCTTGAGGCCCTAAGCGACGACGGTCGCCAAGTGTTCGGCAACGTAGTGTCAGATCTTTCGAGATCTTGGCAGCCCAGTCACAGGTAATTCAGCCAATTCAACAGGCACTACACGTTATGAATAGAATCGGCGGTTTGCAAGAAGGAATTTGAAGAAACTTCGGAGTCGGTAATTAAAGAGATGCAAGAGTATGGTTTCTGTTCCGTTTAGATTTCTAAAAGAAAAAGTTCCCGGAAATTATGTAGGCAAGGCCCACAGCAGCACACTGACCATTTTTATCTTGGAAAACCAAATCTGTTGATCCTGTTTTTGAGGAAACTCAAAGTTTGACTACAGTGAGAACAGCAGAGTAGCTTACACAAAAATATTTGTTACTGATTAAGGCTACAATACGAGAGTTTCTCCACCCGTGAATGAGTTTGAGGCCTTTAGCGACCCTGGTGGGAAAAAAACGCTGCAATTGATCTGGCAATATAGGGCCAGTTATTACCAGTCCAGTCGCGGGTAATTTAGTAGGGCAATACACGCTATAAATAGGAGCGGTGGTTTGCTAGAAGGAATTTGATGAACCTTCGAAGTTGGTTGATAAAAAGAACTGATATGTATGGATTCAGTTCCGTTCAGATGTTTGAAGTAATAAATTCCCGGAAACTATGTGGTCAAGGCTCAAAGTAGCACACCAACCATGTTTTACAGACAGCCCAAATATCTGTTTACCCCGTTTCTGAGGAAACTCAAAATTAAACCGAAGTTGTAACACCAGAGGAAAAAAACAGGCATTCTAAAAGCAAAGTTAGATATCAATACTTTGTTTTTAATCGTTTTTGGGTACAACAGATATGCTTCGATTCAAAATGGTAACATTTGCATCGGCAATACATAGGGTCGATGCCGGAACACATTTCCATTTTGTGATACTATCGGTGGCGTGTTCTTTCGAGATATCATATTTGTACGCTCGCGGCATATGTATCTAATACTAGAGAGAAGCCTTTGTTTATCGTACGTATAATGATGCAGAATTACTTTGACAGAGAAAAAGTCAGAACACTTTGGAATGCCAGGGGTTTAGTGCACTACATAATAGACTGTGCTGGAGGAGAGAAACTGCAAAGCGAACAGTAACTGTTAGAATGAAACGCTTTTTCTCTGAATTGACATAAAAAAAAGTAAAAAACAGGCATTCAAACTCTTTGAATTAGCGTAAAGATGCCACAGACCGCCCTTAAAAAATTGTTCTTGCCCTATCCCTTTCCCTAAAAGCCCTGAAAGTGCCTACGTCACCAAATTTTTTATTCTGTCATTCAAAAGTCCACATTAAAAAAGGAACTTCCGTGAAAACATTTTTCGATTCGACCAAAACGCAAATTTTTTATGATTTTTTAAAAACGCTGAAATTGACCGCCATTTTGGCACACCACTTCTCGCGGTCACAAAGGAATTGTGACGTAGGTTAAGGATAACGCGACCTCAGTTGCTAATTAACTGGAGAGAGATTTGACCAAGCACTCCCCATGGAGGACATTATTTGGTCGGTTCGTATACGATGATAGCAACTTTCATTGGTAGCCTCATTCGTTTGCAATAAACAAGGGAGCCACGACAACAAGCGTTCCTTAATCTACGTCATTTATGAGCCCGTACTTTCTCGATCAGCAGAAGGGGTGTACCAAACAAAAATAAGATTAAAAAAATCATATAAAATTCGCGTTTTGTTTAAATCGATAAAATTTTTTTCGCAGAAGTTTCTTTTTTAATGTGGACTTTTGAATGGCAGAATAAAAAACTTTGTGACATGGGCACTTCAAAGAAATTACTTAAGTCATATTCGCAATTCCTCCCGGCCTGCATGTAAGACAACTTCTGGATATTTCCTAGAAGCTGTTAATAGCTCATGGTCAGAGTAAGTTGAGATATATTTACGTCTAATGACCTGATAAGGGAGGTAAAAGTCCAATATCCGTCCCACAGGATCTTAAGGTGGCTCAAAACGCTCTCTAAGCTATGATGTGATTGAAAATGGCTTTATGGTTTTTTTATTTGCTAGTCTGATTATGACATCCTACAAATTTTTATTCCAGAGACTGGACAAGGTAAGATTGTTTCCCCGGGAAGAAACAGTCGCCACAGTTGCACCACAGCTTACAGAAACACCCCGGCTTGATGTTGGTTTCGAACACCCTTTCTTATCATCGCTTAGGAGGCAGCCTTTTTGTTATTGAATGTAACTATTGATCATGTTCTGTTTTGACCGAATTAACTCATGCATATGCATGTCTGTCTCCTCGTGTGCTTACTGTGTTATAGAAAGCAAAGTATCCCCGTCGTTTCATGCGTACACGCACTTTCAGGAATCCATCTTCAATTTGGTGTAAATTGCATAAATCAGATATCCTAACAGAAAATCAGTTAATTTCTGCGAGTAGGAAAATGTTTCATGTACGATGTGAAAAGTTAGGGGTGAGGGAGCTTTATTAAAGTGCTGTGAATACTCTGTCATCGGGATAGCACTTGGATTCAAGATTTACCCCTGTGCTATCACAATGGTAAGCCTTGTTAAAGCTCTTCCATGTTGATATTAGACCAGCTATGTGGAATGACCAATTGTCAGTGATGAAGTACAGAATTAAGCTTACCTTTTCTGCAAATAGGTATACATTGTGAAAGGAATTAGCACTTAATAGTATTCAGTAGAACTGAAAAACACAGATGTTCATCACACGTCTCTCATGTTCACAGTGGAGCAATCTTTTAAAATTAGGTAAAATATATTTTATAAATGTTTGGTATTTAGGTGCTAAATTTATGTCAGCTATATTGCATTGTCAGATGACGTGGATCGAGACGCCATCGAATCGCATCGTTAAATACAATCTCGCAATCTAATTGGTTAAGCGTGGAATTGCGAGTTGAAAACGAGGCTAAGTGATATTGTTTCGCATCTATGTAAGCATAACAACTACTATCGTCAAATTGTTACAAAGTTTGGTTTCTAAGTCAATTTAAAATGTTTTCAAAACCATTGTTACCTTTTAAAGAGCCAAACACAAAAAATGCGTTTTTCAAAGTGAGCCTGAGGTTCTTCCTTGTTTTGAACTGAACTATAAATTCTCGGGGAGGCATGAAAAACCTCTTTCGCTCGCGACAACGCGAAAGCGAGAAAATCCTGTGAACACGGCCCAGAAAAAACAGTCTCCGAGCGAACAGGTCACGTCAACCCGGGTTCAATATCCACCTACAGCCATAATCTTTTAGAAAAACAACGAAGGATGTCAAGCAAGCTGGCTGGGTTTTCAGTCGTACCATTAGGACTGTCATAGCTGCTAACGCCAGCGGCGATCCACACACTGAAGCTTTGCGAGAAATTAATGTTAACAGCCCTGCACTTCCATCAATAGTTGGTAATAACACAACAGTAATGAATAACGGCAGTGACGGTCTACCAGCAAGAGTTCTAGGTGGACTGTTCACCAATGTATCGTTCAACAACTCTCCAGTGAATATTTCCATCAACTTTCAGTCGAATACTCATCCCAACGATTCAGCTAATGGCAGTTGCCTGTAGTGAATTTCTACAAATAAAAAGATCTAAGTTTTTGGACTTTTCATGAAACACTTCTTTGCTTTTAAAAGAATAAAATATCGATCAATACACGTATTTACACTTCACTACTTACCTTATATTAATCGCGATGTTAAACTTTCAGTGCTTTCGCTTGCACACTTCATTTCTTTCCATTTTGCCACCAAAGAGATAAAAGGTGTAAATTATTTTCCTTCTCGCGCAAATTTAGTGGAAATTTGAAAAAAAGATGTCAAAAATAAACGGCTTGTAAATTCAGTGAAATACCACCATTATCCTTAAATAGTGTGAAGCTTATTTAAAAAGTTTAAAAACAAGGGTCAAATAAAAGATGTCCAAGGTTGTACCGTGCACGACTGACCTTGCTTCCAATTCGCTAACGCAATGACAGTTCTGCCAAGTTGACTTCAAAATGGCTTTCTGGGGCGCGCGCTTGGGATGAAAACAAACGATATTATTGCTGCTTTCTTTTTTTCCTATTTTTATTCAATGATACGATTCAAGGAAAATTCATTACCCGACTCGTGAATTCTGCGTTAAATTGCACTTGAAAACCGATATCACACTCATCGCTCTGCGATTCATACGATATCGGTTTTCGCGTGCAATTTAACGCGGAATTCCCTCGTCAGGTAATGAATTTTCCTATAGAATCGCCGTGATTCTTAGGTACCGTGGCTGGCTGTAGTTTACATAATTTCTTTATGGAAAATTTATATTATCTCTATTTACTGTTAATGGTGGGCCATATTGCGTTATGGGAAAAGGAAGGTCGAATTAACGTGATTTCCACTCGTTGGCTGGCTTTTAACACGATAACTAATTCGGTGTGATATCATAATCATGAATCAGACAGACGACTTCCTTCTCATTGCATCTGTTTGCCATTTGCGTGATGGACAGCAAAACATTCGTGATATTTTGTGCATTCAATATCAGTATTGAAGTGTTCTGAAGATGTTATATTGAAAAATTGTCAAACGCCGCGATATGGTCCTGATTACCCAAAAATTCCATTTTTGATGGACTGTTCAGTCTTTAACTAATTTTGGCATGGACGTCAGGTTTCATGTATTGGTGACCAAGGAAGTCAATATAAATACCTAGTCAACCGGTGGGATCCTATTGGATTTGGATTTTCTTGAATGTGTCTTGCATGAAATAGATGGAGATGCAGCTTGGAAACTGAAACACCGTCCCCAGAAGTAGTTCGTGTAGCCAGCAAATCCTCAAAATAATCGACCATGAGGTTATTCTTCCTCTTAATGACTGGATGTTTATTGCACAAAGTAAAGGGCCAACAGTGTAGTGGGACTGGTATTAACGGAATAGCTGCCTGCAAATGTAACTTTATGGAGGCCTGTGATGCACAAGGAAACCTGAATGGCAACTTAGCACAATACTTGCCGACAGGTGTGCATCAGTTCGGGCTTTTCGAGCAAGGGCAGCAAAACCTGGCATATTTGTGTGAAGGCGGTGGAGCAGTAGGGATTCTTTATGACTGTAATAACCGAATTCCTCTCTATGCGGCCACTGTGATTAATGGGGCCCAGTTATCAGGAAGAGACCGAGGGGGTCGACCACGCATTAGATTTTCACAAAGCAGGTTGCTCAAACCGCGTTTTCAACAAGAAAATAGAGATTACGTACGCGCTACTGAGCGAGAACTTTGCTTTAAAAGTAAAACACTAAATGGTGCGTACCTCTTTGAAATGGAGTGGTTGATAGCAAGTGGAAGCAGAAAACGTCCCAGGAATTGTCCAAAAACATCAATACACCGCGGGCACTTGATTGCCTCTCAATACGGCCGCAACAATCAAGCCAAGAAGAGAGCAACTTTTACCTACACCAATGCTGTGCCTCAATTCGGAATGTTTAATTCGCAACCTTGGCAAGTCTGCGAAAGCCGACTTATTACATGGGGAAATCAAAACTGTGCTCAAGTGAAAGGTGCAACAAATGTTCAGTTTTTTATCGTGGTTGGTGCTATCCCATCGACAGCAGGTCAATCCGCGAAACCGAGATATTTTGGCAAAGGGGGCTTCAGCGACTTCAAAGACAGTATCGGCGATTACCGGGTGAACGTGCCTAGCGACTTGTGGACTGCTGCGTGCTGTAGTTACAGCGATAAAGGAACACTGAAATATCACAGCACGGCCTTCTGGAGGGAAAACAATCCGGGAAAAGCACCATGTCAAAGGACAGACGTAGGCGGCTTGACGAGGGAGTTGTCCAAACGGATTCACGGTGGGACCGTGAGTTTCAATCTATTTCCGACTAAATCCCAGTGCAACAATAAGGGAAATTATATCCCTCTGCCGTGATACAGAAAGTTATGTCAGCCACCATAAGTAAAGAAATGTCGTCGAGAGCATAGAAAGAGCTTTTAATTTTAACAGAGAACTGTAAAGCTTATTTTTCAAATCGAGTTTAAGTTCATCAAGAAATAAAAACATCGACGGTTGTAATCATGCGCTCACATGTTCACATGGTTGCTTTACTCTACAGACTAGCTTTTTGAACTCAATATTGATTTTTAAAATATTACTTTAGCGGTTTTATTTTGTTAACTATGTACGTTTCTCTATGACCTAAATTCAAATTCGATAAATAAATGCATGTATTGCGATCTTCTTCTAGTTTTGGCTATGCGCGAGCCGTCAATATTTCGTGTTCGTATTCAATATATCAATATTTTCGTCAATATTTCTGTTATTTTTATATGGCTGTGCCTCACAAGGACTGGGAACTACTGAATTCACGAATTTGATTGGCTAAAATCATTATTGACAGGAGCCCATTACCTGGAGCTTGCATCTCAGTTGTACCCTTGAGTCAACCCTGTCCCGTATCTTTTTATTTTTAGAACTGAGATATTTGCGGGGGTTCTTTAATCTTTCCGCGCTTTCCGCCATTGTTGAAATACTTTCGTGCGGCCTGCAAATGACACAATAGAGACGTAACACAATAGAGACGACAGCTCTCTTATGATTGGCTATTATAAAAACACCCGCGAAAACCGCCATGGGAGGTGCTCCTAAAAATAGAAAGATACGGGACAGGGTTGGCTCAGAGGGTCAGTATGGAAAATGGAAGCTCCGGGTAATAGGCTCCTGATATTGAAAGCGGTCTAGATTTTTCCATCTAGACCGGCATCTAGACCGGTCTTGAAAAAAAAGGTACAAAGAATATAAAAAAATTGGCATATAAGACACAGGCATATAATAAACATCTTATTAACCGAGCTAGGTCGGTCTGTATGGGAGAATCTTGACCTCGGTCGCTGGTGCTGGCGACCTCGGTCAAGATTCTCCCATACAGACCTCCCACTCGGTTAATAAGAACTTAGTACTACCGTCTCACTTTTGCGGCCTCTGATTGGTTCTAATTTAGAAATTGACGTCGTTGCACTAAATTGGGTTGCTGACTACACAAACAAATTACCGCCGCATTCAAATGATTGTACAAATATTTCACTTCAAGTTCAACAGTATTTCACTTCAAGTTGAACAGTATTTATTGAAAATTCGACTTTTTCAGTCATAAACATTCTAATAATGTGACAAAGTCACTTGCCAGTTGGAAAATGAATGTTAATCTGGCAAGAATTCAAAGTGTTATTATTAAACAAACTGTCAATAGGTGGCTTGCACTAGTTTTGTTGATACGTGACAACACGAGCTTCTTACCATATCGATCGTTGTACCAGGCTTCAAGACGACGAACAGCACTCTCAGTTCCTTTGACAGCGTTTTGGGCAACCTCCTTGCTCTGGAACTCTTCAATTTCATCGTCTTCTAGGATGACAATGCTTCTTTTTCTCTTATTCTCCTCATTTTCCGTACTCTTCCGCCCACTATTTTCGCTCGAGGCGGCTGTTTCGGTTTCCGCATCGACGTCTAGTACATCGATGTCCTTAAATAACTCTTTAAAAACAGTCCCACAAATATCAAAATTTGGTATTTAATTGGCTCTTCAGACTCCATTCCTGTGTAATTTTTAATACTTTTCGGTTTCAATCAACTCATTTTATGGTAACAAAGACTATAAACTCAGAGTTTATTACGAATCAACTCAACGGCCTGCTCCCAGTTGGCTTGTTAGCTCAATTAGTAGAGCGCTGCACTAGTATCGCAGAGGTCAGTGGTTCGAGTCCCGTACAGGCCTGATTTTTTTCAGGTCTGATTTTCGCTATTGCTTAAATAGCGCTATCTACTGCGAGGATCGTGTATCATGTGTATTTAATTCAATTGTTTCATCGGTATCTTCGGCTCTCAGAGGATTCTCTTTCGTTGGATTGGTTCGTTGGTAACGTGCGTATTCTGAGGATTATCTTTCACTGATTGTCTTGTTTGTATCTCATGCGTTCGTAGGGTACTCTTCAGTTCTTTTTTTGTTGGTAGTATCTTGAGCAATGAGGATTTTCTATGATTTAACAGTTTTGTCAGTATCCTGCGCATGTTTAGGGGTTCTCTTTCACTCGTTTGTTTGCATAGTATCTTGCGAACTTGAGGATTTTTTTTAGTTCGAATGTTTCGTGAATCTCCAACGCACTCTGAGGATTCTCTTTATTGAATTGTTTCGTTGTTATCTTTTGCACTCTTAGTTCTCTTAAGTTCGATTGATTCGTTTTAATTCTTTTTCATTCAAATGCTTAGTTAGTAGCTCGCCAACTCTGAGGATTGTCTTTCATTCGATTGGTTCGCTGGTATCTTGGGAATCTCATTTATTCGATTGTTTCCTTGGTATTTCGCGCACTTTGAAGATTCTTTCTCATTCGATTATTTCATTAGTGTCTCGCACACTCTTAGGATTATTCTTAGTCTGATTCTTTTCCTTTTAGTTCCGTTAGTATCTTGCGCACTGTTTGGATTCTCCTTGGTTTGATCGTTTTGTTAGTACATTACGCACTTTTCAGATTCTCCTAGGTTCAATTGATTAGTTGGTATTTGGCGTTCTCAAGATTCTTTTTCACACGATTGTTCTGTTAGCCTCTCGCGCACTCTTAGGATTCTTTCTAGTCTGATTCTTTCTCTACTAATTCGCCTATTCTGAGGATCCTCTTTCATAATATCGTTTCGTTACTTTCTCCCGCACGTTCAGGATTTTATTTAGTTCGAGTGTTTTGTTAAAATCTGGCGCACTCTGATGATTCTCTTTAGGTCGATAGTTTCGTAGTCTCCTTCTCAGCCGCTCAAGCCGGAGTCACGCACGGGGAGCGTTGCGTGACTCCGGCCCGAGCGGCTGCGAAGGAGACTAATATTTTCGTTAATATCTCGTGCACTCTTGAGCTTGTTTTTCATTCGACTGATTTGCGTTAGTATCTCGCAAACTCGTGGGATTCTCTTTTGTTCGATAATCTTTCATGCTATTGACGGTTTCCACGGTTTCTTGCGCACTCTGAGGATTCTCTTTCTTTCGATTGTTTCGTTTGTACACCGCGCACTCTTAGTTCGAGTTTTTCGTTACTTCGTTCATCGAAGATAAAGTTTAACCTATTTTGACATCATATTTGTACAATATGACATCATGATCGACAGCAACTCATCCCTCCACCTCACGGCAGCGATAGAGCTGAGGTGTAATCTAAACTGAACTTTCTTGGCTCTGCAGTTTCAAAATACATCCAGGACATAGACAGAAGTACTACGAAGAAATATGTCCGGTCGATGCTGACTGAAGACCGTACCTCTCTTTACACAAAAATTTGTACACTCAGGGGAAAAAGCTTAATGGGTTTAGAAAGCTTTAATTTCAGGATAGCCAAATAATCATATCTCTATCAAAACTAGCCACTAGTATAATTGCTGAACCTTGCGCGTTATACACGAAGGCGCGCTATATAAGGAAGTCTTGCCTGGAAAGACCTGGGCTCATTTGTCACTCACCGTTGACGCGTGCGGGTCAAATTCAAATGCTGGTAGACGAACAAAAGAAGCTAATGAGATATCTATTATTTACTTCCACCGGCAAGGTGGCATGAGGTAACGTGCGAACCACCTACTTCGATCTCAAATTTACTGCCACAAATAAAGACAGTTTCCATTTGAGAAAGGAAATACAACTCTCAAAAATTCTTGTATTGTGATGAAGACATAAAACAATTTTGAGGAATGCGCCCGCTGTTCACTGCTTTAGAGCAGCTGTGGCTCAAGCTGACTAAGAGTTCTACATCACACGACGGTTGATTGACAAATGGTCCAGTGGGACTAAGGCTCCTTTTATAGCACGCCTCCGTGTTTAAAGGAAACGCCTTCTTTAGCAATTACACAAGCACTGAAGGAAGATGCGTTAATGAGTGTAAAAAGAGAACCAAATGTGATGGTTTTTAGCACAATTGATGTCATTTCAGCGTTTATTTAGATTTTTAGGGCATATTTTTGTCAACGTTTCTATGGGAGCAAATCTGTAAAATGTTACTTATACTCACGATATCACAACAATTAAAAGATAAGTTCTGTTGTTCACTGAGGTTTAGAACGAAAGCCTCAGTTGCTTAGATAGAATGAAAGAGAAAACAGGATGTGAATTCGAAATGTTTGTCTCATCGCTGAGGAAAGGAAAAAACTGCAAAATTGTATTTGCCTTAATACCTTCGTGATACACAAACTCTGAACAAAGGCTGTGGTAGAGGAAAAGAATGCGCAATAAAACCGAATTCCTTTTTCAGTTATCTGATCACTGTTCAAGTTGCCTTAATGCGATCAACAGTTATGTATCATATGAGTATATATGACTATACGATGAGCCAAGAGTTTATTTCAAACAACCTGGAAAAGCTTTTGGTATTTTCATCCACACCTCGACGTTTCTGTTGGACAACTGGCCTGTGTCAAAACAGCAGTGTTTCAGTAGAAAAACGGTTCGTTTGAATAGTATAAAAGTATACTGATGTACTTTACTTTATCACAAATCTATAATATAAACCAATTGCGATTTTGAGACGGCAATACCACATTATATTGTCAATCCTAATTCTTAGTCTGCAAAATCATGTCTCAAAAGAGTTATCTTCCTTAAAACATCGCCCAGAATGCCGCGAAAAATCAGGAACTTGTTACCGGTACTAAATCTTGAATTTTTAATGAATAAGCGGAGCGCACGCCACACAATAGAGAAGATGGCCCGAAAATCAACAGAGGGGTATGTGCAATGGAAAGGAAAATGTCCCAGATTTTTCATGCGTTGAGCGTTACCCTTGAATTGTTTTCACGACGACGTTACTTTGTGTTGTATTGACCGAGTGACAAACTCCGCAATGCGGCGTTCATTACCCAAAATTTCGATTTTGAAAGACTGTTTACTTACTTGGTGATTTTTAAATCAAGAAGTTCCCAAAAAGGAATAAATTACCAGAAAGAGAAGTTAATCTAAATTCCTTGACAACCGGAAGGATCCTGCCGAATTTAGACATGTTTTCTTGAACATGTCTCGACCCGTCTAAAAATAAACTAAGTTATATTCTAGATGTCACATAGAATACTCGGCAAGAGGCACAAATAAACGCTTGTAATCAGAAATCGTTCATGGAGGTCTGGCAAATCTCCTTTCCATGCCTGCTAAGTCAACGGACTCTATTTCTTCTTGCTGCACGCGTGCTCGTCTGAGGTAACAACAGTTAAAGGTTCTCTTTATGGCCCTTCGCATCTCAGGAAGTCGCCAAAAATATACCACAGGATTAAGCGACGAGTTTATGAACGTTACCGTCCCTGTGTACTGCAGTGCAACAAATTTGGTGAGATTTTGTCCTGTGAACTGAACTACAATGGCTACACATATATACGGAGAATAACAAAGAAGCAGAATGAAGCAAATGTAAAACGCGTTTATAGCTGATTTCGTGGAACGAGCGAACTGTAATGGCGATGACGCTTCTTTTCTGATTCCGACTTGAGCTTGAGATTGAATCTGGGCCTGGTGACGTCTCACAACGCGATAAATTTTAAAGTACATCAGAATAATGACTGAAAACAAGACTAGGAAGGTAATGATTCCGATAAAGTAATAAGCTGTAGTGTTCTGGATCCATATAAATCCATAAAATGCAGAGAAAAACCAACATAAAATTATGATCGCCACGACTTTTCTGTTGGTGACAATTGCTTGATATCTCAGATGAAGGTAAAACACCAGGTACCTATCTACACTTATCGCAGTTGCTATCATAAAAGACGACCCAGATGACACAACAGAGAGGACATCAAACGCCAAGGCGAGGGTGATTGGACCCTCTTCATCGGACTCGAGGTATACCACAGAAGAAGTGACTTTTAACGGTTGAGTAACCAAACCGACGAGAAAATCCGTCAGCGCAAGACCAAACAATAACGTATTTGAAGGTGAATGAAGAGATGGCGTCCGCCAAATGACGATAAGTATGATTCCATTTCCAAACGCTGCTGGAAATGAACAAATGGCGTTTAAAATGGAGTTGATCAGTCTTGAAGTTCTCAATGTAGAGATGTCGTCTTCTTGAATATTTGAAACAAGATTTATGGTTGACATTTTCCTTTAACAATAAACTTGAGAAAGTCTTCGATTGAAACACCCTTAATACGTGTTCAAATAGCTATATTCCACAATCCGCACGTATATTCTATATTCTAACTTATCAATAACCGCTAAGTGAATTTTAGACAAACAAATTAATTATTAATTCAAAATGCATTTGTAGTTCACAATATCGACTTTTTTTTCAGTTCCCGTATAACTTTTGAAAAAATCTTTTGTTATAAAAGGCATTAATTGGGGAAGAAACTAAAGATATTATTCTGAGATATCTTTCGTGTTCCGAAACGTCGGAGATATTATTTTTTTACGAATCTTTCATTTCGAAACTGAAGAATGAAGAGCAATTAATAGCCAAATTGATGACGAACTCAAACGCACTTATAAAACGGCTGACCAAACAGCTTAAGAGCTCGTAAATCTTTTCATATTTGTTTAAGCTATGCCAATCGTTCTCAAAATTGACGTATATTCAATAGCTCAATTGAGAAAACGGATGGAGGAAAAGCCATCTCATCTGTATATTTGCTTTAGCTAGTGGAAAGATCAATTTGAAATTTTCGATGAAAGTCATGCTTTTCCCTTGGTGAAATTCATTTACAGTCGAGTTGTAAAAACTCAAATAAAGCTTTGAATAAAGAATGATAACTTGCACCGTTTCGCGCAAGTATATAACGCTGAAGAACAAGGTAGTGAGTTGCCAATGTGAAACCTCGATAACCTTAAGAGACCCCGGATGCTGTAGATTGATAAATTTAATAGAGGGAAATGTGTGGTTTGCTATAGATCTTCCAGTAGTGTCATGGCAACAGTCCCGCCACCTGCTGAAATATTGACCCGCACTCGAAACAACGTTTTTATTCTAAGGGCGATGAAATATACCAAACCTAACCATGCTACCTGTTTTTATTATTAATTCGCCCTTATAAACTGTTTTAAAAGCATTATGTGGTCAATATTTTCAGTTTTAAATTAGTTTTATTGTTTGTTTCCACCTGAAAAATTTTTTATATTTCGTACGTGTATATATACATATATTTACTGTATTTCATTCCATTCACTTGATAATGACCGAAGTACGGTCGAAACGTCGTGTTTTACCGTTCATTTTTATTGTCAAAAGTTTTAAGAAACCCTTGCTTATAAGAATTTTAAAACGGAATAACCAGCTCCACTTGTTCAGGAGACTTGAACAGTGCAGCAAGAAACAGATAAATTGCGATGGTTCTATCGAATTTCTTCGCCTTTGTGAAGATTTTGACCTCACGCCTACTTTCGCTAAAGTTGATCAAGACAAATGTCGCAAATGAAAACATTCTTCTGAGACCTTCTCTATGAATGTTCTTGCTGAAGAACTTCGCTAAAGTTGATCAAGACAAATGTCGCAAATGGAAACATTCTTCTGAGACCTTCTCTATGAATGTTCTTGCTGAAGAACTTCGCTAAAGTTGATCAAGACAAATGTCGCAAATG